TTTCATTATGTAGAAATAGGACTAGGACTATAATGCAGGCATAATCAAATCAAACCAGATTGTAATGTCAAAATAAAGAGCTTAGTGTTTATAAATTTGAAATTCAAATCCAATTCACTATCTAGAATTTTCATCTTGTCAAGCAGTAGTAGTTAATAATGATTGCTAGAAAAAGATTAATCAAAAATATATATATACAGTATACGTAAAAAGACACTCACCAAAGAAAAGTTGGAGGTAATTGCCCACTAATCAAGCTTGGTCTTCCATTAAAATTGTCACTTTTTTGCCATTATCATATTAACTAATGGCCCACTACAAGTCCCACAAATTAAATAGCATAAATCATTTCATCAAAATCTCACTTATCAAGTCTATAGTGTAAAATACGAAGTATGATGCGATATATTGATTAATGAGATATCTCCAGACTCAAGGAGAATTACACAATTCTACACTCACTTTTTTTGATTTTTTATTTTTTATTTTTTTATTTTTTTTTTGTCAGGGTCAAATTGTAAAAATTTTTACCATAAATTCTCGTTAATTTATAAGAGATTATATTGTCACGTGAAAATATGTTGGATTCATCTCGTTGTAATACAGAGTATCATGTTTTCATAATTTTTATGCGTAAAGAAATATAGATATATACATTTAGGACGTTCTTAGGGACTATAAAAAGTAAAATAGGACAAAAATATACTATGTATTTGATAAAGAAAGTCATAAAAGTAATAATATAAACAAAATTAGATGAATCTTTTATTTTAATTTTTTTTTTGAAAAAAAAATTAAATGAATCTTATATTCTCATGTATCATTTTTTAAGACTTTAACCAACTTAACCATTTAATCATTAAATCATCCACATGTCATAAATTAACAATTGAACAAAGATGGAACAATATTTTAAAAACCGAACAAAGTATGTAATCATAAATCATTTATTGATTATACCGAACAAACTGTATAATCATAAATCATTTATTGATTATAATTAAAAAAAAAAAAAAAAAAAAAAACTCAAAAAAGGCAGCTATCACCTTTAGACCCTCGTTTGAAAATACGTTACTTAATCGGTTACACCCCCACATCGTCAAATTTTCTCCCATTCAATTCTTATGTTCTCACTACATCTTCTTCCTCCATTCCACCCTTTCAACCAAAAAACCAACACAACTTAAACCCACTGAACCCGTACTAGATTCCGCCACTGCCCTCGAAAACCCAGAAATGGTTAAACCATTCAAACTAAATATTTTCTTCCTCCTAACTTTCTTCATCTTACCATTATACTCATCATCATCATTATTTCAACCAATTTTAGCAGAAACAGAGTTAAGAGCATTAATGGATATAAAATCATCTTTAGACCCAGATAATAAAATCTTAAAAACATGGTTAAATGATGGTGACCCATGTAGCGGTTCATTCATCGGAGTTGCTTGTAATGATCACCGGAAAATTGCTAACATTTCATTACAAGGAAGAGGACTCACCGGAAAATTGTCGCCGGCGATCGGTGATTTGAAGAGTTTGTCTGGGTTATATTTGCATTATAACTCTATTTCCGGCGAGATTCCGGCGGAAGTTGGTGAACTAACTGAGCTCACTGATCTTTACCTAAATGTTAATAATTTTACTGGGATTATTCCTCCTGAGATTAGTCACATGACTAATCTTCAAGGTTAGTGATTTTTATTATTGTTAATTAATTTTTTGAATTGTTTTTTTAAAGTTGCTAATTAATAATTAGTATAAGTATTAATTTAGAAATGCCAGGGAAAAAAACTATGCATTGAATTATGTAATCATTGTTTAATTAAGCTTAATATACGTATTTTCTAGTACTTGTATTTTATAAGGAAGACAGTAAGAGTTGTATATATCATTTTCCTATCAGAATAGTGATTAGTGAGATATTCCATACTCGTATTAATTTTTTGTTGCTCATGTAGTTAAAGTGTATTTCTTTATTATAGAATTTCTTGTTTTATTTCTTTTTTTAAAAAAAAAAAAAAAAATGAGAAACAGGGATAAATCGATTTTGTTAAATGATTTAGAATTATTTTGGATTCTTGGATATTCTAAATATTGGAGAGGGGCTTTTCATTTTAAATTTTTTGAATTTTTGGATTTTTTTTGTTTGAGAATTTATGGCAAAATACAGTTGATGAATATCTTGAGTGTTGTTAGCAAATTTGCATGATAATGAGTGATTTGTCTTTCCTATTGTTTTTAAAAATTGGATTTATTTAGAAAGTTTAATTTTTAGTTGTTGGAGGGTTTTAATTATTGAAGGTTCCCTTTCACCCCCTTATGACACCGAGGTGTTGCTCATGTGGTCAAGAGTAAAATGAGGTCCATCTCTTGGTTGTTGCTAGCTACATCACTATGTAACTGTACTTCTTTGTGCACCTTGATATTTTTTGCATGTACATACGGACATTGATGTAAGATTAATGTTGTGTACGTGTTATTTTGTTGGGGTGTACATGTATTAATTATCAATGACGTGAGAGATTTTGTATAAGATTGTACACAAATTCATCATTATATCAATTTATGACTGTCCTAAACGAGCCTGAAAAAACAAAGCTGCCCCGTGATGGAAATTTGATCAAGTTTCATCCAAACATAAATGTTCATATGTAGCGTATACTTCGTACATATATATGATTTTTTTCTCAATTGGCACACTAGATATGCAGTTCTAGTTAGATCTTCCTGAACTTTTTGGCTGATTAATCTTCCTATGTAGTTCATTCTTTGAGCATTAGCTTAACTGAGTACTTCACTAAATTGCAGTGCTGGACCTATGCTGTAATCGCTTGACAGGCAACATTCCGGCACAACTAGACTCCTTGAGCAAGCTTGGTTCTCTATCTTTACAGTATAACCAATTAGATGGTTCAATTCCTCCAAGCTTGGGAAGCTTGCATGTGTTAAAGAGGCTCGACTTAAGCTATAATCTCCTTTCTGGACCCATTCCTGTAACCATAGCCAACATCCAACCGCTTCAAATTCTGGATGTCCGGAACAATTCTCTCTCAGGAGCTATTCCGGCCTGTAAGTCTCCAATCTATCATTAAAGTGCCTACTAGAATTTTTGCAAGGTGGAGTTGATTTAATTTCTCTTCTTTTGGATGAAAAATGCAGCATTGAAGAGATTGGATACAGGGTTTCTATATGGAAACAACACAAAGTTATGTGGAGCGGGATTTCTTTCCTTGAGAGCTTGCACTGCCTTGGACAATTCAAATGTAGATATCAACTCACCTCGGCCATTTGATTTAATCTTCAAAAACTCCACAACACCAAAGCATGATGAACCCAAGAATGCAAGTCTGCAAACCAAATGTAGCTCTACTAATTGCTCAAAATCAACAAAGTTCCCTCAAATAGTCATTGTTGTTGGGGTTATTACAGCCTCGGTAACAATTGCAGCAGCAGGATTTTTGACATTTTTTAGATATAGGCGGCAGAAACAGAAGATTGGTACCATGGCAGAAGCCTCTGAGAGTAGGTTCAGCACTGACCATGCTATTGATCTGCAGAGCAAGAGCGCCTCACCGCTGGTCAGTCTAGCGTACTCCACAGGGTGGGATCCACTGGCAGATGGTTTAAATAGTGGAGACCTTTCCCAAGAGGCTCTTCAGAGCTTCAGGTTCAACTTGGAGGAGGTGGAATCTGCAACACAGTACTTTTCAGAAGCAAATATGTTGGGAAGAGGGAACTTCTCAACTGTTTACAAAGGAGTTTTGAGAGATGGGTCTGTTGTTGCTGTTAAAAGTATTAGTGTGAATAGCTGCCAGTCCGAAGAGGCAGAGTTTGTGAAGGGGCTGAACTTGCTAGTTTCACTCAGACATGAAAATCTTGTCAGCTTGAGAGGGTTCTGTTGCTCTAGAGGTCGGGGGGAGTGTTTTTTCATCTATGATTTTGCGCCCAAGGGAAACCTTTTAAAGTATCTTGATGTGAGCGCGGGTAGTGATCTTGTCCTTGAATGGTCGATTAGGGTTAACATCATCAATGGCATCGCCAAAGGTATGTATCATTTTCTTCCAATACAGCTAACAAATTGCCAAATAGGACATTTTCATCTTAAATTTAGTAAACACTCGTACAAACTTCTTTCAATTATTTCACTCTTTGCATGCATATCTTAGATTAGTAGATTTAGTACTAATTTCCTCATTTTTCATGTCCAGGTCTATGTTATTTGCATGAAAAGAACGATAATAAACCTTCAGTGGTTCACCAAAATATGTCAGCAGAAAAAATAGTGATAGACAACCAATATAATCCATTGATCTTGGATTCCGGGTTACGTAAGATACTAGCTGATGACACAATCTTCTCAGCACTCAAAGTAAGTGCAGCCATGGGATACCTAGCCCCAGAGTACATAACCACTGGTCGATTCACCGAGAAGAGTGATGTGTATGCATTTGGAGTGTTAGTCCTACATATTCTATCCGGGAAGCAACAGCTAACAAATGCAATGAGATCAGCTGCTGAGTCTTCCAAATTGGAGGATTTTGTCGACCAAAACCTCAACGGGAAATTCTCTGTGACAGAAGCCTCAAAGTTAGTGAGACTCGCGTTGAATTGCACACATGAGCTTCCAGATGAAAGACCATACATGGAGGCTGTAATCCAAGAGCTAAACAAACGCAATAGTGGTTCTTGAAGGGGCTTAAGTGCAGGTTACAGCTGATGATTGGCATCAATGATTTCCTTTGGCCTTGGAGGCTTCCTTTTGAACCATGTGATGAGAATCTAATGAGTGATTTTAGTTAAGTTTTGACACTTTTTTTCAGGAGGTCATAACCTAATGTTGAGAGTGTAAAGATTTGTATATTAGGCTATTATAATATAGAGCATCGAAATGATTTTTTCCTTGATTTATTCTGTGATAATGTGACTCTGCTCTAACCGAAAACCTGAGGACACTCCTAGAACTTAAAAAAGCAGCAAACAGCGGACCGTGCCTTACCATGCAGGAGAAATGGTACAAAAGGTGCAAATTTTAACCATAGTTTCAAAGGAAAAAGAAAAGTAATTCATCAACTACATTATAGGCAGAATGTCTTAAAACTGGCAACACTAACAAATGATCTGAAGAGGGCAAAATAGAAGAAGAGGATTAAGGACTATATGTCAAAAACAGCTTTTTTATTAATCCTGCTGGGTTCAACATATCTTCAAAGGATTACATTTTGTTATCCAAAGAACTATCTATTCTCATTAATGGTATCAGTAATCTTCAAAGACGTAGGCACGTAGTAATGTGTAAAAAAAAAAAAAAAAAAAAAAAAAAAAAAAAAAAAACAGCCTCTTTATTTCCACTACAAAAGCTGGTCTGAGTCCTATATATTGAAGCTGCAAAACTTACTCAGAAGCAATCCACGACCCTTAGAAAAAGAGGTCAATGAGCACCAGAAAAATCAAGCAGTATCAGCACGCTCCTGATCATCAAGAAACCACTCAGCTAGCCACCATTTGGGTTTAACAGCAACAACCTTTACATCTTCATTTCCTTGTATAGAAAGTGCACTAGATCCTTTGAAGGCTTCCTCCAAACGTAGTAGACCTAATCCACGAGAACCAAGGGCAGTAGTCACAGCCCCGACCTTCTTGCCTGATGATGCATTTACCACTACCGACTTGGGAGCAACTTTCTGCTCTACCTCTGTTAAAAGAAAGATCATGTGGATATTCAAAACAAACAAAAAGAAAAACATACAGAAAACATTGCAAATAGAAACTAAGCTTACCTTTGCCGTTAGCATCAAGGAACTTCAAAGGAAGCACACGTTTTCGGATGACACCCCGATGATGAGTTCGAGCAACCAATTCTTGTCCCACATAGCACCCCTTATCAAAACTTATTGCATTAAGGCCTGCAAGATTGTATTCTAGAGGAATTGCTTCATCTGCAATATACAAAGAGAAAAATCATATTAAGGTTTCTTAGTTAACCAATGAAATTGTAGCTCACTTCTGTAAGTGCAAGAAAAGGCTCCAAGTCTACCAATAGAATTGATTGTAGGGGGGAGAAGCATAGCAACTTAAGACAAAAATTTAACAATTTCGATTCAAATCTAAATGTCCTCAATGCATCCTTGATGTGAAAGGTGATAGAAAATTTCCAAATACACGCTGCAAAGCCAGATTAAAGCGACGAAAGCAAAGAAGGATGATGATATTATGGTAAAGAACAGACCTTTTGGGATCTCGTTTGGGCCTTCTGCAACCCCTTTCTCTAATCTCCATAGCAGATAATTTTCCTCAGAGACTTCTTTATCAGCCTCGACCAACGGAGCTGCAACAGTCAATGAACATCTATTAACTCATTTCTTCCCAACCTAACAGCTTAAGCTAAATTGTTAGATACTGATGGTAAAGCACTGTAAGAGATTAGCAGCTTCTAATCGAAAAATAAAATAAAATAAAATAAATAAATAATAAAAAATAAACTCACGTGGAGTCCTGGAGGGAAATATCCCTCTAAAGCCAAGACAATCCAACCTTGGATCCTTGAACCACTGCCACCCGCTTTCACTCCCTTGTGAAGATGACATAGAAGAGCTATCAATACTCCCACCATAACCTACACCAGCAACCTCTGGTTCTTCGGTAGATGAAGAGTTATCAGACAATTTTCCACCAAACCTTTGCCAACAACAGAATTCATCTCCCATGTGCTCTATGTCAACCTTAGACCTCAATCGATATCTACAGGTTTTATGGCAACACAATGTATCAGAGGGTGCAAAATGGAGCTAGAAAGAAAATTGTTCTGAACCGAAGGCAGGAAAATCTGAAGTAACTTACCCACCAGCCCAACTCATGTCACACTAAAGATTTTCATTATGGCAGCAGTCACTGGATTGATTCTGATGATTATAAGCAATACTTTGAATAAGACACAAAACCTAAATATTAGACCCCACTCATTCACTGATCAATGCCTTAGTTATATCTCTCCCTGATACAAGTTCCAGGTTGCGTAACCAAGAGATGGCTAAGCGCCTAAGCAGCCAACGATTAGGCGACTACTTCGAGTCTTTAAGTATTACACATTTATTACTAAAGTTCAATTAAGGTAACTTATTTGCTAGCATTCCTAATATTCAATTGTGCTACTCTTCATTCCATTGCAATTGCCAAACCACCCGTGCTCCACCACCAGCCCCCAGAAATAATTGAAACTTTGAATACCAAAAAAAAACCAATACAAAGATCCTTATAAACAATTACAATTCTCCTAGTAGCATAATAGCATTACTCTTCTGACCTAATCGCGCTAAGTAATGCTTCAAGCAAAACATCTAGCACTAAAACAAATCTATCATTCTGAATGGTCATACCTTTAAAACCAAAAATCTAAGTTTTAAGACTATAACAAATCCGCCCTTCTAACAGAACATACCTCTATTCCCTAAATAAACCAAAATTATAATCTGCCCTTCTATATTCCCTAAATAAACCAATAATTATAATCTAATTATTCACGGTTTCCAAGACACGATTTTCACATAATGCATTATAACACAATCAGTCAGATTGAAACTTCCACGTGATAGATCATCTCAACAATATAAAACACAAAACTTCTCACAAGCATTTCATCAAACACCATACATGCAACAAACAGAACCAAAATAAACTAAAATCCTCACCTCTTGAGAGTCTGAACTAGCTCATCCACCATCGACCCATCAACATCCGCAAACAACCCCATCCCATCATCACTTGGGCCGGGCCCAGAGCCCGTCGGGTCAAGTTTCTCATCAAGCCGGGGCGGTCTGTACAAGAAAAAATCATACAAAAACCGACCTTGTGGGTTCAACAATGCCGCGTAAACCGGTCGAGTGCCGACAGTGGGCATATTCGTGGACGCCATGTAGGAAACTTTGTCATGAACAGAATCATCGAATTGGCGAACATCGTTGGTGAGCAAACCTTGCAGAAATTTGACGGAGTCTGGACCGGTGAACCGGATGATGGACCGGGATTTGAGCCGGGAGGAGAGGGGACCCACATCTCGGAGGTGGGTGGAGAAGAATCTGAGGGTTTGATGGGTGAGTTGGTGGCGGGGCATTTTGATGATTTTGGTTGTTCTGGTTTTTGTTTCGATGGAGGAGAGAGAAAATGGAGGTGGAGAAGGAGGAAGATGAAGGTGAGGTGGGAGGAAGTGATGACACTTGGGAGTTTGGGAGAGTTTAGGGGTATGTAGATGGACACGTTTGATGAGGAGAGAAGAAGATGAGTCAGATGTTCGACAAATTGCTCATCAACATTGAAATTGGAGGGAAATGGATGTGTTAACTACATTTCCTAAAAAAAATTGTGTTAACTACAAGTAGAGAGATTAATTGAGAAAGAAATCAGCTAATTGACTAGGTGTCCCTCAGATTAAACATGACCTGATCTGGAAAGAGGAAATTTTTATTGATACAGAGTAAACTTTTTGTATATCAGAGGTAAAATGGGTACAGTTTGGGGTAAAAAAGGTAAAACAACTAACTTACCCCCTGTATCCAATGTATACCCATTTTGTCCCCTGATAGGCTGATAGCCTGATATACATAAGAATGTAATTGGCTGACTTATGAGGGTGGTCTTATTTAAAAAAATCGACATGAATTGGGAATGACTAAAACTCGACCTGTATTAAAGCAATGGATGATATGCTTGAGACCCTTAGCTTGAATCAAATCCAACGTGATATTGATTGACAAGTGATTGGACCTGATATTTTATGGTGATCGAAGCTGAACCTACATCCAATTTGATTATGTTAGGTTTTATAGCAATTCAAGAATAATGAATTACTTAATTTTGTCAGAACAAAACCTAAAAAAGTGTATGATTTCAACTGAATTATACAACAACCAAATAGTAACTAAAGTATTACAAACCAAGCACCAAAGTATCAATGAAATACAGAAATTACAAAGATAAACTCTAATGTGAAAGATACTAAACTTGCCTTAATTCCAAGCCTTTGAAAAAGAACATAAACATGAGAATTTTGATGACCACTTGAGTCTCAAACCTTGATACTCTATCTTAGGTGTGTATACACTTTCCTAAAGAGGTTTATTTCCTCCACAACGGTGCTTGGGTTCAATCCGAAAATCCTCTTTAAGATACAAAAGACAGCAATTCGTTCTTTGCACTAAGAATCGATATATAGATGACTAATTCACAAATTTGGCTAAATTTCAAGTGTTTTCAATGAAAAGTTTGCAAGTTTTTTCAAAGAAAATTGTGGAGAACCAAGGGAAAATCCGAGAGGAGAAAACTGAATATCTCCCTTTCTTTTTTTAATTCCACAATTAAAAGATCGAACGAAACCGCAAACTGCCGGGGCCGCGGGCGCGGACAGGTCGAATTGAGATTCACCCTCAACATTCTGGAGATGTCTGGCCGCGCCCTTGGAGAGGGCGCGACACATCCACCCGCGGGCGCGGCACTCTGAAGCTTCCCAGCTGCGGCCTCTCCTTGACTAGGAGAGGGCTCTTCCCTAACACACTCTAAATTTTTAAAAATCCTCCCCCATTTAGAGTGTATACTTTTATACATCTCATGCATCAATGCCAATGTCCCTACAGATTGAATTGGCACTTAGTACAACACACTTAACGATGATCATATCCCATGATTTCCATATGGATTGAATCACACGGATATTCTTAACCATTCGAAGGTGAAGTACACACAAGATAAATCAAACTAATCATCACTTGACACTTTTAAACATCCATGTGTCCGTATCTTTCATAAGTTCATCAAAGTCTATATGTCCATCTAGACTTTTTGAAGCGGCTAAACTTCGAACTTATATAGGTAGGATCTCATATACGTAATAGTGCCCTTGTGACAAGACACCTTCATTTAGAGCTTCTCAACTCTAAATCTTTGAGAACTTTAAATAAAAGCTACCGTTCACATCACAAGTACCATAGTAATATGGGTCATCAAACATTGCTAACAAACAACAAAAAATGCAATTTAACCACATTGAATCTAAGACTTGATGTTTCTTCAAGCATTAGATTGGGTTTCACAAATCTGTGTTTTTGGACATAAACCCATTCCATTCAAAGCAAAAATGATGGAATGCCTTGGCATTGCTTTAGTAAAACAATCCGCCAAATTCAATTTTGTAGGAACATAGTCAAGACTTATGACCCCATCATTGATAAGCTCTTTCACTAGGCTACGCCTAAGTGAAATATGCCGAGACTTACCATTATACACTTGACTATATGCCTTTATTAATGCCGAATTCGAATCACAATGAATAGCCACCGTTGACATTGTCTTAGGCAATAAAGGCAACTCAAACATGAGATTTCTCAACCATTCAGCTTCCTTACTAGCTGAAGTAAGAGCAATAAACTCCGCTGCCATAGTGGAATCGGCAATGCAAGTTTGTTTCTTTGAAGACCATGAAATGACACCTCCCCTAGACATGAACACCCAACCACTAACAGAAGAGTCATCCTCTTTGTAGGTGATCCAACTTGCATTAGAATATCCTTCTAAAACCGAAGGAAAACCACTATAAGTCAAATCATAATCCAACGTACCCTTGAGGTACCTCAAGACCCTTCGAATTGCAAACCAATGTTGTACACCTGGGTTACTAGTAAATCTACTAAGTTTCCCTACCGCCAATGCAATATCCGGTCTTGTATTTGTCATGGCATACATCAAGGATCCAATTATCCTTGAATATTCCATTTTGGAAACCGTTTTCCCCGAATTCTTAACCAATTTAACATTAGGTTCCATGGGGGTATTTACAGGACTCTTATCAAACATATTAAACCGTTTGATCATCTTCTCCAATATAATGAGATTGACTTAAAATAAATCTTCCATTGTCCCTAATAATCTTGATGCCCAAAATGACATCTGCCTCCCCCAAATCCTTCATCTAAAAAGATGAGGATAATAATTCCTTGGTCAATTCTACTTGTTGTAGACTTGTACCAAAAATAAGCATATCATCAACATATAGACAAATGATGACACCATGACCTTGGTCATCAAATTTGATATATATACACTTATCTGCTTGATTCACTTTCAATCCAAAGGACAAAATCGTGTCATCAAATTTCTAATGCCACTGCTTTGGTGCTTGTTTAAGTCCATACAATGACTTAACCAATTTACACACCTTATCTTCTTGTCCTTCCAAAACAAACCGTTCGGGTTGTTTCATGTACACTTCTTCCTCTAGATCTCCATAAAGGAATGCCCTCTTGACATCCATTTGAAGAATCACTAGATTATATACCGAAGCCATTTCAATCAATAACCTTATGGAGGTAATTCTTGCAACCGGTGAATAGGTATCGAAATAATCAACCCCATGCTTTTGCCTAAAGTCTTGGATAACCAATCTGGCTTTAAATTTCACTATGGAGCCATCCGGTCTCCTTTTCCTAGTGAAAATCCACTTGCAACCGAGAGGTTTGCAACCAGGAGGTAAATCCTCTAAGACCCAAGTATTATTTCCCATGATGGAATCCATCTCATCATTTACAGCTTCCTTCCAAAATGCACTATCTTGAGAAGTTATGGCCTCGCTATAAGTCTTTGGGTCGCTATCCACATTGAAACAATATGGAGTAGTAAAACTAAGGACATCCTTAGAACCTTCAACTAAATAAACTATAAAGTCATCAACAAAGTTCTTAGGTCTCCTTTCTCTAGTACTTCTCCTGACTTGAGGAGTTTCAACATTCTCATCATCGAATGTTTCTTCATGAGTCTTAAGTTGATCATTCAACTCCACTATCACCTTATCATTGGAACTTATTTGTAGATCTTTTGGTCTACTCATTGATGAAAATCGGTTTTCATCAAAAATTGCATCTCTTGACTCAATAACCGAATGTATTGATATATAGTCATTTTGTTCTATTACATAGAACCTATAGGTTTTGCTATGCTCATCATAACCTATAAAAATGCATTCCAAGCCCCTTTCACCGAGCTTTCTCTTTTTTTTGCCGAGCACTTTAACAATTGCCCTACAACCCCAAACCATCAAATATCTCAAGTTTGGCTTTCTTTTGTACCAAAGTTCATAAGGAGTAGATTGTTTTCCCTTAGTGGGAACCCAGTTAAGAATGTGACAAGCTGTCAACATTGCTTCACCCCAAAACCCTTCACTCAAACCAAAGTAAGATAACATGGAATTAACCATTTCGTCAAGAGTTTTGTTTTTCCTTTCAGCTACACCATTTGATTGTGGTGCATAACCTGCTGTAGTCTCATGAATTATACCCAAATATTGGAAATAAGCTGGATCATAATATTCCCCTCCCTTATCGGTTTTTATTCTCTTAATTGATGATTCTACTTGCAATTCTACTTCCCTTTTATAAATATCAAACTTTATTAAAGCTTCATTTTTGGAGTGTAAAAGATACACATAACAAAACCTAGAATAATCATCTATAAACGTAATCATGTATATTTTATTCCCCAAAGAAGGAGTGCTATGAAAATCACACAAGTCACTATGGATCAATTCTAAAATATTAGAACTTTTCTCAACCCTTTTAAAAGGAGTTCTAGTGATCTTGTTCAACATGGAAGTAGAACATTTATTAGGAGAGATATCACAAGGTGGAATTAACTCTAGTTTAGACATGTAATTCAACTTATTGAAATTAACATGACCTAATCTAGAATGACATAAATAAAACAAATTCACACCACTGTCATTACTAACATTTAAACAAATATCATCATCAAATACATACTTGTCTCTCAAAGAGAGTTTAAATAAACCATTACTTAAGTAACAACGACCTATAAATGTAGTACCTCTAGTAATAATACATCTATTAGTTTCAAACACTAGTTTATAACCAAGACAGTTCAGGGTAGGACTAGATACAAGATTCCTACTAATTTCTGGAGCATACAACACATCCCTAAGAATGATTGCATTCCCCGAACTAAACATTAGCTCTACTTGTCCTCTTCCAAGGACCTTGATGGTTAAGTTATTCCTCATAAAGAGATCTTCTCCATCACCAACCTTGTGAAAGGTTTTGAACCAATGCTTCATCTTGCATACGTGCCTAGAAGCCTCAGAATCAATCCACCATTAGTCATCATCCTGTACCATAAAAATATTAGGATCCATTGCATTTAAATCCAAACCGAAATTAAATTCAACCTCATGTAAAGGATTACCTTTAATGGATGGGTCCTTGCTATCGGAAGCACGACCCTCCTTGGCTTTTTCCATTCTTTTCTTGAAAGAAAAAAGTCCTTCTTGCGGTGTCCAATTTACCGCATTCCCAACAAGCAAACTAGTTGTTATTTGCTTTCTTTTTGGACTTTTCTTTGGAA